AAACATTTAGAAAATTAGTAGGGTTGTAGGTTAGTTTTTCATAAAACTTGAAAAAAATTTTCCTTACTACTTTTAAATCTAGAAAACAGTCTATAACACTGGAAACCTTGCGGTGTTAACTAAAGGTGTAATAGACTTAAACACTTAGAAAATTAGTAGGGTTGTAGGTTTATTTTTTTTCATAAACTTAGAAATTTTTTCCTTACTACTTTTAAATCTAGAAAACAGTCTATAACACTGGAAACCTTGCGGTGTTAACTAAAGGTGTAATAGACTTAAACATTTAGAAAATTAGTAGGGTTGTAGGTTAGTTTTTCATAAAACTTGAAAAAAATTTTCCTACTACTTTTAAATCTAGAAAACAGTCTATAACACTGGAAACCTTGCAGTGTTAACTAAAGGTGTAATAGACTTAAACACTTAGAAAATTAGTAGGACTACTTTTAAACTTAAAGTTGTAGGTACATTTATAAAATCTTTAGTGTATTATTAATACTTCTAAACAAAGAAATATCTGTAGCACTTTAATCTTAGCAGTGCATACTAAAAATGTTACAGACTTAAAAAATTTAAAACAGAGATTTATAGCTTTTTCAATTAATCAAAGAAACTTTGATACTAATCACTCTTTAACATAAAAACAGTCATTAAAAACATAATGTTTAGTTGCTATTACATGTAAAACACTAAGTTAGGTCTTTCTGATCAAATATTATATTTATAAAACTCCTTCTTTTTGATCAAATATTATATTTATAAAACTCCTTTAGTTTTCCAATTTTAAAACCACCAAGAATATTTCTATATCTTTCAAGAAAAGAATCATCTCTGATAAAAATACAAATTAATTTTGCAAATATCTATAGAGCACTAATATAAATTTTGTATTTCATGCTGCTATGTTTATTAATCAGAAGTTTAAATATGAAATATTTAATTTAGGGATTTAATTTTAACAATGTACCTATTCTAAATATTATTTAATGTAAGGAATGTTTTATGTAAATAAAGTATGTCTATATCTCTCATATTTTAAGTCCATATACCCCTCTTTACTATAAGGCTTAGTTGGGCTTAATATTAGACACTTAAGGTTCAAAAGGATTAAAAGTATGAAAATTAACTTAAAATCCTTGGTAAAATTATCTCATATAATACAATATATAAGTTTGGATCATTCAACTTCTCTTGATACTCACACCCAATCAAAAATCTTCCCTACTAATTCTACAATATATAAGTTTGGATCATTCAACTTCTCTTGTAATTATCTCATATAATACAATATATAAGTTTGGATCATTCAACTTCTCTTGATACTCACACCCAATCAAAAATCTTCCCTACTAATTCTACAATATATAAGTTTGGATCATTCAACTTCTCTTGTACAATACTCACACCCAATCAAAAATCTTCCCTACTAATTCTACTCAGGATAACCTAAACATCCAACCAGACCCCTATTACAGATTTTTTCATATATCATAAATAACTTTGGAACTCCCCTTCCCACTTTATAAATATCAGGATGACCTTGAACCATCTTGTCACTTCTAGTAGCTTACATATTATCACTCAGGATGACCTTGAAACCCTCTTGTCACTTCTAGTAACTTATATATTACCACTCAGGATGACCTTGAAACTCTCTTTGTTACTTCTAGTAACTTACATATTATCACTCAGGATGACCTTGAAACCCTCTTGTCACTTCTAGTAACTTACATATTATCACTCAGGATGACCTTGAAACTCTCTTGTTACTTCTAGTTACTTATATATTCAGGATGACTTTGAAACCCTTCTAAATGACTTAAATATTTAATTAAATATAGAGGTAGGGGTTCTAATTGTCCATCTGTTTAGAGTGGGAAGTTTTGAAAATTAACCTTTAACCTGTTTAAGTGAAATTTAAATGGTTATAGTGATGGGGGTTCCAATTGTCTATCTAGAGTGGGGAGTTTTGCAAAATTAACCCCCTCACTGTTTAAGTGAAATTTAAATGGTTGTAGTGGTGGGGGTTTTAATTGTCTATTTAGAGTGGGGAATTTTACAAATTCCCCCTCTCTATTTCACATGCCCAACAAACATACATAAAGAACCAACCATTCCATGAACAACTCAGTCTGAAATGGTACTTGACATAAGTTAGTTGAGTAACAAACATGTTGAAGTGTTCTAAGTGATAAATATATTTAGTGGGTTCAGATATATGTAAGTTGAAATAATATTTACCCAACTCTTTGTTGTTTTTATAAATATGGAAAGGTATACAGTACAAAATTTGAAAAATATTGCAAGAAATGTTGGTGTTGATGTTATTCCAAATACTAGTCGAAGAAGGATTATTTGGAAGATCATGAACGAATTGGTAGAAGTAGAAAATGTACAATATTTTATTGATCGTTTGAATGATCCAAAAGATTTATATGATTTGTATAATACATTGGAAGAAGAAGTATTTGAGGGGAGTTTACAGAGTAGACTACAAACAAAATTCTACATTGTTAAACAGAAACTATTACGAATGAATCAAGTAGCATGGAAAAAACTATATAAAAATGAATCTTTTTCAGAGAATTTTATGACAACATTTGAGAGTAAAATTGATTTTAATGAAGTTGTAAAGTATCAAAATCTCAATTCTAGAATTATCATCAAATTTTTCAACAAGTTTAACTTTGTGGTTTTAGTTGAAAACCAAAACTTCTCTAGCATTGTCCTTACCCAACTTCAAAATCAAATCAATTGGGATATATTGATCTACTATCAAGATGTGCCTGAGGAGTATATATTGAAAAATTACAATAAACTTTCTCTAAATGTTTTATTAAGAGCCAAGAAATTATCAAGAGAGTTCATAACATGGATACTGATAAATGATCAAATGAGTTTTCAACAGATATGGCCAAATTTAGCTCAATACCAAGACTTAACTAGAGAGCAAATACTGTTAATACATTTACTGTTAAAAAATGGAGAAGAGTATTATACAAAACAGTTTGGACATTTGATTAGTAGGTATCAACAGCTGGACTCTTTCCTTTTAGATTTCTTTCCAAACATATTGCACTGGCCAACAATCTCAAGATATCAGAATATATCTGATGATGATTTGATCAAGTTTAAAGCAGTGATTGATTTTAAAATTTACCTGTCAAGAGGTATACCACTAAGTGACCATGTCAAACATCATATCCCCAAACCCTATACTGAATCAACTGTTCAATCAGATTGCCCAATATGTTTGAATCAAACACAAGATAATATTATTTTACAATGCAAACATATATTTTGTAGAATATGTATAACAGAATGGATGAAATGTCACAATACATGCCCCTTCTGCCGAAATATTATCCCATTACCAATCATATAATTAAAATAACCCCCTTCAATACTACAGTAATCAAAGTCCCTACTCTACCATCACCCCCCCCCCCAAGAAAACCAAGATATAACTAAACCCCCTCCAATACTACAATAATCAAAATCCCCACTCTACAATCACCCTCCCCCCCAAGGAAACCAGGATATAACTAACTGCAGCTCTTGGATGGTTACAGTGTTGGAATAACACGGAAGTGTTTACTATAGTATTGAAACATATGAGTGTTTAACACTTAGACGTAAGGATGGAACCAACATTGAAATTGGAATCAACATTGAAATTTGAAGCAACATTGAAATCCAAAGAAGAAAAAAAAATTGTTGAAAACATATTAAGATTTTTAGTTCTAAAATCAAACTTTTCCAAATTAAATCCAATAATAACATCACAAGTTGATACCCTGATTTCATTTCTGATTGGTAATTTTCCACCAAAGGAAATTGACTTGGTATGGCAAAAAGTCTCTAAAAAAAGACCTTACATTAAGAAAACTAGAAGAAGTAAAACAAACAAATATAGAACAAATGTACAAATGGAAGATGGTGAAACCCCTCAAATTATTTGGGAACAAACATCTAACTCCAATAAAACTACAGAAAATGAAGAATATAATATAATTTCACAAGATGAAGAACCTGTTGAAGGACATTTAGAACAAACCCCTAACTTAAATATAACTATAAAAAATGAAGATTATAATGAATATTCAGAAGATGAACTCAATCTTGATAAAATCAAAGTAGAAAGTAACAGCTCAGTTGAAAAGAAAAAAATTATACTTGAAACACCTCATCTAACAGAAGAAGAAATAGAAATGCTAAACCAAATAGAAAAGTATAATAAGAATTATTACAAAACTAACCAGTGTCAACTGACTGAAGAAAAAATGGAATTTAAAGATTTTAACATAACCAACAATGAAATAAAATATATAGACTTTCAAACAGTATTCATGGAAGATACTGAAGAAAAAATAGGATGTACAGAAGTTTTTGGAATAATTAGCAACTTAAATGTAAATAACCAATGTCAACTGGATGAAACAAAAATGAAATGTACAGAAGATTTCAACAACTTTGATGAAAATAACCAATGCCAACTGGATGAAACAGAAATGAAATATATAGAAGATTTTCAAACAGTATTCCTGGAAGATATAAAATTTGAAGATGAACAACTTTCCTTTTAAGATCTATAAATATGAAAATCACTATAAATTGTAAATATTATGTCACAAATTCTAAACTGTATTCAATTTGAATGTAAATAAATTTATTTATTCACTTATAAACTTGTTATTGAATATTATCCAATGCAATTATTCATTTTAAAGGGGTATAATTAGAATTTGTCATGTTTATTTTGCCAATTTTACTTAAATTTATGTGGTAGTTAAACCTGCAATTATGATTTATAAGTTAAAATAATCCCTACCACATACTAGTAAATGAAAAAACCCCACCTTAGTCAAATAGTTTCTAAAATTTCTCATATACAAAACCAGCATCTTACTAAGAGACCAGTCAGTGTTGTATGGAAAACTATTACTGTTTAGATTTTGGTTCAGTGTTATATGGATTATCCTTATTGGTTGTGTTTTGGTTAGTGTTGGAAAATTTGAATATGTCAGATAATATTCAAAGATTTTATTATGAAATAGAAAGATTAAATAGTTTTGTGAATTGGCCAGTTACATTCTTAAGTCCAAATTTAATGGCAAATGGTGGATTCTATTATTTTCAGAGAGAAGATTTTGTTCGGTGTGCATTTTGTGGTGTAGAAATTGGATCTTGGGTTGAAGGTGATGATCCTGCATCAGATCATAAACAATGGTCACCATCATGCAAACTTTTACAAAATATACCATGTGGAAATGTTCCCATAAAAAATAACTCTAAAGATGAGTTATTACTTTCATTTCAAAACTTAGGAATTAATCAAATTAAATTTCCATCCTTTCCCAATTACACATTATTAGATGCAAGACTTAAATCTTTTAAAAATTGGCCAAAAACATTAAAGTTTACACCTGAAATGTTTAGTGAGGCTGGATTTTTTTATACAAAGAAGGGAGATGGTATTATATGCTATTACTGTGGTGGGGGTTTAAATAATTGGAATGAGGAGTCGGATGAACCCTGGGTTGAACATGCTAGATGGTTCTCAAAATGTTATTTTTTATTAACAACTAAGGGGAAAGATTTTGTTAGTAAAATCTGTAAACAATCTTTAACAAAAAAATTAAAACAAGATACTTCAAATGAATGTAAACCAAAACAAGAGGAGGATAATAAAACAGTACTAAGCACCAATTTACAAAATAAAACTTCAGGAAGTAATGAATGCAAAATATGTTATATGGAAGAAGTTGCTATTGTATTCTTACCCTGTGGTCATGCTGTGGCCTGTGTAAAGTGTGCTTTGTCACTAATTAAATGTGCCATTTGCCGTCAAACTATTACTGCAACCATCCGTGTGTTTTTTTCATAAAAATATAAATATATTATATTTATAAATATTATTAAGGATTATACAAGTTTTAATATTCTAACATTATTTGATGTTTGTTATAATATATCAGATGAATAAACTTATGATATCTCATATGAAAATATTTGATGCTATTGTTGAATAAGATTTTAATTTTAGTGAACAAACAAAATTATTCTTTGAACATTGAATGTGGTAATTTAATAATATAAAACTCAGTTGTTATAAAAAGTACAATTTAAAAAATCTATAACTATACAAGTTTCTATAAAAGATCATATTATTCTTGTATAAATAATAAAACTATTAAATATTAAAGAAGGAGAATAATTGTTAAAATACTTTCTTGAATAGATTCTATTTATTAATAAAAAATGTGCTATAAAAGTAGGGTTAGTTTTTACAAGAGGTTACTTTACTACAAAACAGTGTGTGGATAACATTGTGACTATAATAATGGAAGCATTTGACAAATATCTTGAACAAGTTAAAGAAATAACTGGAATCCAATGTAACAATTTCTATGAAGATGTAAGAAGAGAATTTGAATATGAAATCTTTAAAACATCTCCAAGGAATGTACGAGGGATTGTTATTGGTATAATAAGAAATTCTTCAATAATTACAAAAAATCTACTCCTTTCTACAGGAAATAGAGAAAAAAATGATAGATCTATAAGCAAACTTGAGATGATTGATAAAGTTACATCACTCCAGAGCAATGAGAATATTTTATTTTTTAGAACACCAATGATTTTTACCAAGCATAATCAAACTCAAAGAAGATCTTTAATTAGTGCATTCAATCCAGTTTTACTTCATATTCTAAAAATTATTCTTCGAAGTAATTCAAATAATTTTGAATCTCCGATTCCTATTTTGTGTCTTGGACGAAATTCCTATGATTGTGTTTCAAACTGTTTAAAACAACTTCATAGACCCAAGTTTATAATTTTAAGCAGTGTTCACCCTAATAATTTAAAAGAATTGGACATTAAAATAAATCTGACAAATTGTAAAAGGGAAAAGCTACAACTACTAAGGAAGAAACTCTATAGAGAAGATTATTTTTTACAAATATTTGATGTATTCTGTAATCTTATTAATTAAAAATGTATTAATAACTTATTATTAATTAAAAATGTATTTATAACTTATTAATTAAAAATATATTTATAACTATACTGTGTTTAAGTTACTAAACCTCCTCACAATCCTTCTTAAATTAAGTCAAAATTTATCACTAATTACATTTACTTTTAAGATTTCAAGAATACAGTAAGGGGGCTTTGATCTGGGATATCAACCACCCCATTTAAGATCCCACTTCAGTGTTTTGTGAGTATTCTCCAAGATGTATTAGCTTATCAAACTTTTAGTTATTACCTCTTTAGTAGAAAATAACCTTTAAGAGTTCTACTGGAGATTCAAATATGGATAACATAACAAATATCCTTTTATTTTTTGAGTCTCCACAATTGAATTTCATTCAGAGGGATATGATAAAAAATCTTAAATGGTTTCAAGTTCTTTATATTTACATAAAAATTAAATCCCAATATCCAAAGGCACATCTAAAGGAACAGTTGTTAAAATATAAAATTAATATTTGGACCTTAATAAGTAAACTAAAATACACATCTGATGTATTTTTAGAAGATTTTTCCTATAAGATGAACTGGAAGCTAGTTTCAAAACACCACCACATTAAAAACACATTTTTAAAGAAATTTGTACACTTATTAGATTTTTACATTATCAGACAAAGGTATAATATCCCAAAAGAAATTTTATTACACTACTTAAAGATGAAAAAGCAAATAAAAAGATGAAATTAATAAGAAAATAAAAAAAATACAATACACACAAAATAAGAAGACAGTCTCAGGTGAATATAAACAACATACCTAATACTCTTTCTATATATTTTAATATTTATCTTTTATCATATTTAATTATAAAAATTGTTTAAACTAATATTTATGATATCTATGAATGCAAGTGAATAGTGATTTCTGATTGTGATGTGATGTTTAGAAGGTGGTGGTCCCTGAGGAAAGGTTTGTAAATTCCTATCCATTTCAAAAAAATCTTAACCTTAAAGAAATATAATAAAGCAGATTCTTCACAAACATATTAGTCTGAATAAACAACCTGACCTTATTCAGTTGGAGGAAGGAAAAAATAGCAGTGTAGATTAGACATCATCAGTCCAAATAAGTTTAAATATTTGTCAGCTGGAAGAAGTTTTGAACAAATTAATTGTAGCAGTGTACTTTATAAAATTAAACAAGTGACGGTTATTGTTTTTTAATCTCTTGTCTATTTTATTGTTAATATGGAAAGATTTACTTTAAACAATTTAAAAAAATATGCAACAAATTTAGGATTAGAATTTACTCCACAGATTAGTAGAAGATTAATTATTTGGAAAATTATAAATAATTTAATAACAGTGGAGGGTGTAATTAGTTTTGTTAGTCATTTAAAAAGTCCAAAAGATATATATGATTTGTATAATACCTTAGAAAGGGAAATGTGTGATAAGAAATTTCAAAAACTATTACAACAAAAATTCAACATTGTCAAACAGAGGTTATTAGAAATGTCTGAAAATGATTGGAAAAAACTATACAAAAATGAATGTTTTTCTAAAAAGTTTATGAAAACATTTATAAACAAAATTAACTTCAATGAAGTTGTAAAACATCAAACTTTAAATACTGGTAGTATTATTGAATTTTTTAATAAGTTTGAATTTCGTCTTTTGGTAAAACACCAAAACCTATCTAATGTAATTCTAACACATCTCAAAGATAAAATTGATTGGAATATTCTAATTTGGTATCAAGATGTGCCTGAATGCTATTTATGGAAACATTATTACAAAATAAATCTCAATTTATTGTTTAGAAACAAAAAGTTATCCAAAGATTTTATAACTTGGATTTTAATAAATGATAAAACAAACCAACAACAAATATGGCAAAATTTATTACAATTCCAGGAATTATCAAAAGAGCAAATGATATTGATATACTCAAGATTAGATTCAGGAGAAGAGTATTATAAAAATCAATTTGGACATCTTATAAGCAGATATCAACAGTTGGACTCTTTTCTTTTGGACAAATTTAAAAATAGATTACATTGGCCAACAATTTCATTATATCAAAACATAATTGACCTTGATGTGATTAAATTTTATAAATTGATTGATTTTAAAATACATCTTAAAAGGGGAATTCTAATAAGTGAATTTGTCAAGCAAAATATCCCTAAGTCATATACAGAATCAAATATATCTATGGATTGTCCAATTTGTTTGACAGTAACTGATAAAAATGTGGTCTTACAATGTTACCACATATTCTGTAAAATATGTATAAAAGAATGGTTAGAAGTCCATAGTACATGCCCCCTCTGTAGAAATAATATTCTATTTCCAATAATTTTGTAAACCCCCCCTTTTTTAGCCACTCTATAGAAACAATGTTCCCCTTATAATTCTATATACCTTAGTTACCTTGAATATAAAATCAACATCTTACTAGGGGACCAGTCAGTGTTTTTTGGACTATCCTTACTATTTGGATTTTGGTTAGTATTGGTAAATTTGATTACATCTAATAATTTTACTTTTAGATATATTTAGACTATTTATCTTTATTATGTCAAATCACATGTCCAATCATTTAAATTATTTATTAAAAATAAATTAAGATATTTGAATTAAATTTGACATAGAAAATATTTTTTATTGATATGGTTTAAGCAATTTTTCTTCTTATTTTTTTATATTGAATTAAAATGATCAAAATAGATTCTACTTTATGTTTAATCTGAATGAGTAAAATAATAATTAAATAATTAAAATTAAATAGTAGAACAATTAATTGTTAAAATATTAGGATGAAATATTTTCTTGAAAAGATTAAATTTATTAATTAAAATGTGCTATAAAAGTAGGATTAGTTTTTACAAGAGGTTAGTTTACTACAAAACAGTGTGTAGATAACATTGTGACTATAATAATGGAAGCGTTTAACAAATATCTTGAACGAGTTAAAGAAATAACTGGAATCCAATGTAACAATTTCTATGAAGATGTAAGAAGAGAATTTGAATATGAAATCTTCAAAACATCTCCAAGGAATGTATGAGGGATTGTTATTGGTATAATAAGAAATTCTACAATAATTACAAAAAATCTACTCCTTTCTACAGGAAATAGAGGAAAAAATGATAGATCTATAAGCAAACTTGAGATGATTGATAAAGTTACATCACTCCAGAGCAATGAGAATATTTTATTTTTTAGAACACCGATGATTTTTACCAAGCATAATCAAACTCAAAGAAGATCTTTAATTAGTGCATTCAATCCAGTTTTACTTCATATTCTGAAAATTATTCTTCAAAGTAATTCAAATAATTTTGAATCTCCAATTCCTATTTTGTGCCTTGGATGAAACTCCTATGATTGTGTTTCAAACTGTTTAAAACAACTTCATAGACTCAAGTTTATAATTTTAAGTAGTGTTCACCCTAACAATTTAAAAGAATTGGACATAAAAATAAATTTAACAAATTGTAAAAGGGAAAAGCTACAACTACTAAGGAAAAAACTCTATAGAGAAGATTATTTTTTACAAATATTTGATGTATTCTGTAATCTTATTAATTAAAAATATAGTTATAACCATACAATGTTCAATCATTTAAATTAAAGATTATTTACTTGAATATTTAATTTTAAGTTTTAATAAATTAGGAGACAAAATGGTAACTGTTGGGGGCGTAATGGGTGAAAATGAAAATAATTAATAACTCGAAGGACCAGAACTAATTAATAGTTCAAGAGAAAAATAATTATTTTAAAGAAAATGGCGAATCTGCAATTTGAAGGGCACTGAGGTCCCGAGATGGAATAAAATGTCTTGTGAGGGGCAAATGAGATTAGTTTTAGAGTCTAATTAAAACACACACAAAACTTTAAA